ATTGTAGATAGATAGATAGATAGGGCGGGAAAATGCCATAGCTGCTCCTTCCTTTTCTCCAAGATTCATGAAAAGGTTGGCTTGCCGATTGTGCAAGTTGTCAACAGATCGGATGTTCTTCTGGCTTTTCCACGCAGATTTCTGTCCCTGCTCAACCTTTTCGATGCACTAGCTTCCCTTAGTCTTTCCATTGTGTGTGATGTGGAACCTTCATCCTCTCTGTGGTCGTTGAACCATGCTGTCAATGCTGCCTTATCTGTTGATGGATCTAATAACATGGTGCCGCCAATCTTATCCTGTCCTTCAAGCTTATCAGCACGTTTATTTATTGCCTCAAACTCCTGCATGACCAGGCTAAAGATCCTTACAATCTTTGTGAGTCTGCTGCCTCGGGACTGTGCACGTCTCCGCAAAAAGTGAACATAATTAGGTGTATGATTGGTCCAGAATACATATTTCTTAGAATTAATTTGACCATGGGAACAAATAACGGAAATCGTCCTAGAACCATAATATTTCGTTCACTAGATCTGGGTTTCTTTTAGACTGCTAAACAAACCATTAGTACAAGTGGACACGTGAGGTGATGCGTGTATGGTTACGTTTTTGCTTTTCTGTATAAAATATGGAAGAATACTCACCGATACCATATCGCAACACCATTCGAACTCACGCTTCAAGTCCCCTATTCAAAAAGTCAGCGGTCTCTCTGGCATGTCAGGATGGGTTACGTGTACGTCCTTTCAGTTATCGATGTTTGCGTCTCCAGAACACGATCTGGCGGAATTATCAAGGAATAATATGTGAGGCAGCGTGGTGGAATCAGGCTCTCGTCAATTTTTGGGCATGTAGCGTTATTGGTATCATCTTAAAAATTGTTCACCTGTGTTTATTTTGAAGAAAAAAAAATATAAGTCAAGATATTTGCGAATGAAGGACAGAGGAAAAATTTGTGAGAAAATGACTGCCAAAGATTCAATATTTCCTTTGCTTAAGAGTCTGTGGTAACAGAAAATATCCACGTTTTTCAGAAAAATTGACACCGAAATGAATTCTTTAATGGGGAATGAAAGGTGTTGAGCCAGAAAAACAAACAATTGATAAACATTCACAAACCAGCAGAAAAATGCAAGTTTCTTCACTTTGATTATTTTGACGAGAGTCTGATTCCACCACGCTGACTCACATATAGACATACCTTCCTTTGTGGTCATCCTACCCAACAGGGTCTCCGATGTCACTTTTTAACTTGTATAAAACGAAACGCCTAAATGTAATTACTCCTCAGACTCGGTCTCAAAACAGGTAAACTTGCTGTATAAGGTAAAGGCACAAAAATGTGAATATTACCATTTTAATGTAATGTAAGTTATCATTTTAAGATTGAGAGTTTTACAGTGATTGACCAAACCCAAGTCGTGCTGTGAACTGGTTGTGAGGGAAACCAAAGTGTCTTTAGCAAGCTCATATGACCGTACACAGTTGAGCGCGACGTGAAACTCTTACCAATCTTTTAAAAAAAACATAAAAATGCAACACTCATAACCTGTTCAGTTGTGACAAGACTAGGTTTGCACTTTGATTATTGTTGTTTGGGGATTTGTCGTCGATCACCTCACTTGGCTCATTAATTTATATTGAAGATGTTGGTCAAAAATGGCAAACAGTTAAGTGGAAGGGGCTTTATTGAACACCCATTGTGCATCATTACAAAGCAATATGTACGTCAAACGTCTGTGAATTCAATGTTTTCTGAGGTTTTACTGGATGATTTTTAAAAAGCATTCCTCTTGTGAGAGAGAGAGAGAGAGAGAGAAAGAGAGAGAGAGAGAGAGAGAGAGAGAGAGAGAGAGAGA